GGGGGGGGGGGGAGGCGGGAGGAGAAAGAAAGACGAAGAAAGAGAGAGAGAGAGAGAGAAAGAAAGAAAAAGAGAGAGACAGAGAGAGAGAGAGAGAGAGAATGTGTGTGTGTGTGTGTGTATGTGTGTGAGAGAAAGAGAGACAGAGAGAGAGGGGGAGAAAAAACAGAGCAGCGCGCGTGGTTGTCGGACGAGCCGGCGGCCGACGAGACACACCACGACGGACTGGAAACGAGGGTTGAAACGTGGTTGCCTTCGCTACGCCCTCGTGCGCCGTCGGCCGGCCTCGGTATGCTCCGTCGAAACGCTCCAAGTCGAGCGGGATGCGGCCTCAGGGCCGTCGCACCCGTCTATGGCGCCATTGGGGTCACGTGTGGCGTGGCGCGGCGCGATGCAGCGTTGCGAAGGGGGTTGCGACGAGGGGGTGGACGGCATGGGAGCGCGCGCGCTGCAATTTCCAATCCACGCGCCGCGGTCACCGGCTTTTCGGAGCACCGCTCCGCCGTGTATCGATTATTGACTCTAGCGTGCGCTATTCGATTTTTAGATTTTACGAGGATTACACAGTTTGGCTCCGGCGGACGGCGGGTAAAAATAGACGGCCGGCGGGAGAATGTTACATGTGGCGCGTTCAAGATCAGTCTGATCACAAAGTATCTTTGAGTCGAGCTCGACGGGCTTCCAAGCGCGAGGTTCTTTATATAGATGGGGAAAGGTACACGCGGAGACATTCGAATGCTGGAACACGTGTAATGTGGAAAATGTAAAGTACAAAGGTGTCGAAAGTTTACGGAGGCGAATCCGAAGTTCAACGGTACAGAGGTTTTCAAAAACTGTCGGGTGAAAGAAATTACGATATTTCAGAGATAACTATACTGATAGAAAATTATAGTCAGTTTCGGCGCCAAACATATTCTTTAACCACGAAAATAGTCAGAAGAACCATTTTTCTAGTAAGTGTTACTATAATGTCAGAGATAATAATCTCATATACATATTGCTGCTACTATGAAATATGTTTGTTGCCAAAACTAACTATAATTTTCTATCAACGTATATTCCGATACTTCCGCCACTTGAAAACTTTGAAAAAAAAAAAAAGAAATACGCAATATCAGCGCGAATTTATACCTGCAACGTTCGTTAAAGTTATCGAAAGACATATTCTGATCGTATAATTGATTAGCCTGGTTAACGCCGATTCCATCCGCGTGAGAGCTTATTGGCTAGAAAAAATAGACGCAACGAGAATATCGCACACGAGGATATCGATCCTCCTTCCTAACCGCCTTTGCAAGCACTTTGCCTCATGATTAATCTAGCAATTGCCATCCTTAATTTAAACACTGAAGTCTGCAACAATATTATTCCCTACTTTCCTCGTGCGGGTCGATTGAAAGCGTTATTGCCATATCGATTTCAACAAATAGTCGGGGGCGGAGTACGTCGGAAAGAAAAGCATCGATTCTAGTGTCTCGCGATTCCAATTCTCGTGTCCAATAATCCAGTCTTATAATGAATCTACCTAACGGTGTATCTTTTTTTCGCGTTACGGCTTCCCGACGCAGTTAACAACGTCGTGTCACCTTTAAATTATCGTATGCGTGATTACTTCGTTACGTCGTGGAATTAATTCCCGTGCAGAATTAATTCCCGTGTAAGAGCCCGTATGATAACGCGATTTCGCGAAATTACTATAATATCCTCGAAATAACCGCACTTCGCTTGCACTTTTACAGAGAGAAAGAGAGAGCGTATACTCTTTTCCTTTTTATCCCCGTGGAGCGCGTAATTTAACGAAATTAATATACGGCTGAGTAATTACAGACGCATGCAAGGCCACTATAAACCGGCATACACGCCGAATACGATTACGAAGTACGCCATAAATAATATCTCCGACGAGGCCCATGGCATCATAGCGTAACGGAAGATTTCCCGACGGAATTGAGTCTAGTTCTCGCGAAAGACGGAATCAACCGCGAGCATTCGCTTTATCGCGTGGGTCCACTCAGCGTACTCCTTCTGTAAACTGATTAAGCCATCGCCGCGAGTTAATCTCTTCTAAACAGCAATTTTCCCAAGCCATCGCTCCCCGGCCGCAATACCGCGCTGCAATTTGCCCGATCGTCTTCGCCAACTTGTTAGCGTTCCCGTTCGAATCGAGCAACGTACGACGCGAAAGTGACGGGTGCGATTTTGCGGATCGACAGTCTCTCTCTCTGAGACGGTTGAGGCGCGCGTTATACCGGAAAAACATTTTTCAATCTCCGTGACAAGCTGTCACGCGTTCCGCTTCGCGAAATTTTCACGCACCTCGACGGAATTCAACAAATTTGTCGGCATGACACCGGTGATTTTTTGCCCCACGCGAGAGATAGAAACTGTTATCTCGCACTTTCACAGTCGACGTATCCCAGATTTGCCCGCGTGAACTTGACAAACGGAGCTTTTTTCACGGCGTTTTTACTCCGGTGAGCCCCTTCTCGTCAGTGCGTCCATAAGTAAGACATATCGGCCGGTCGGAGTGCGGGTCTCCCGCTATTAGAGAAACTTGTTACTGATAGCGAATGATATTGTCATACGCGAGATATCGATCTGTCCTCGGGTAACGTTCCGTGTGTCGGTTCTATTTATTAGCATACATTGCGAAATTTCCCCTTTACTCTGTTTCGAACGTGCAATTTCGTGAAAGTACGTTGACACGCTCGTTTGACTTGTCGGGTTTTATGAAATGGGTCACTGGATGGCTCAGAGTGTCCACTCCTGGAAGCGGTATCGCGATATCGCGCGCCTCTAACGACCGCCTCTCTTCGTCGTCGCCGCCGTCGTCGTCGTCGGCGCGGATGTCGTCGTCGCCGTATGCGCGCACGATTTGCCGGGTCGTCATGACGACGTAAACTCAAAAATATACGCCTAGTGGAATAGATTATTGCACGTTACGTAGTCGTAGGTAAAGTCGTAGCTAAAGGCATGTGGACAACGTGTCACCGATAGAACGATGCCGGTCCTTTTTCCCGGCGCGTTTAACGCAAACGGTCCGTCGAGTCTTGACCTAACCCTGTTAAAAAATGAGACGGGACGCTAATTCGACGAAAAATCTCCTGTCATTTACGGCTTACTCAAAATAATTAATGCGCCGATATAATTAAGATATAATTAAGATATCACAATCCTCGCTAAACGTGCGGTCAGAATATGATTCACCGTCACGGAGTCCACGTCCAAATTTCGCCCGTTTATTTCAGACACATCCTATATACAGCGACAAAGTTCCAATATAATTTTGTAGCACCGATTTCTCCCTTAAATTCAATTCCACTTTTCGTTGCCTCTGCGAACGTCAAAGAGAATTCGACGTATCGTCGCAATACGCAACCAAGAGAAGCTACGGCACAGCCACCATTGTGCGAAACTCGGGCGAAAAAGGACTCAGCGAACCGAGATCGCGAAAACTTTCGACAGTTCGCGCGGAGATTTACGAATCGCCCGGCGAAAAATTCGAAGAAAAATGAAAAAGCGACGGTCGTTTCTCTCAGGTAGACCGGGAAAGTCCGCCTTCTTGGGCGAGGCGTGAATTAAGTTATTAAAAGACGCTCAGATACCTCGGGGAACGCATTTCCCGTCAACTGCAGGTGCCTCGAGAAATATAAAGTTAACTTTGCTTCAGGAAGAGTTTAAAGTTCAATAAATAATATAACTTACATTAATCATTGAATAGCCTGACTCGTCCCGACTATTTTGTACTTTGATTGCTTGAGAAATTGTATGACTAATTTTTGTTTACACAGAAGTATAACATGTAAAGTATAACATCTAAAAAGCGATTTTCGATATAAATACACTTCGACATAAATACGTAATACACTGTTAATCACATATCGCCAAAATTAGAGGTATACGTTGAAAAATCCTACGTAATTACGAGGAACATTTCGAGGTATGTATCTCGAATTTGGAGATACCATCGCGAAGTAATGTCCCTCGTAATTACGTAGGGTTTTTACTTCATCGTATACCTCCAATTTTGGCGACACGTAGTTAACAGTGTATATAGCTTCGGGTTTGCTTCCTTCGTATTGTATTTTTATACTTATTCACATACACACAATCACATCTTCGTAGACAATCACATCTTCGTAGACATCTGGGCAGGAAAATTTCAATTTGTTGTACGATGTTATCGCTAAATACAGCCCCATTTCCGGTGTTAAGCCTTCGACGGACATCGGTTTTCTTTTGACACGCGGCAAATTAATACCGGTATGAGCTTAAGTCGGTCTTTCTCGGGAGGTGTCGGTAAGTCACGCATCTATATCGGCAATTTGCGATGCTATCGGGCTACATTTCATAAGGCTGAATCACACCACGCGTGTTTACTAGCAACTAGCACGCTAGTCCGTTGGTAAAAAGCGTCATGTAATTTAGATGGCTGGCGAATTAACTCGCTTTCCGACCACAATATAATACGGAATGCAGCAGAACTATCATCACTGTTTCCATCTAAAAGGTTTTTTATCAGTTTCACGCGGAGTCTCCATTAACCAACATTTAATCGTATATTATTGTCTTAATAACTCGTTAATGTTCGCATTCAGAGCGATATCACGAGCTAGATGTTCGATGTTGAAAATCAAGTTGATTTTAGCAAAGTTTCCATCACGAAAGTCAAAGCTAATGGGAAGAGAAAATCTAAGAATCTAATAATGAGAGAAAGTAGGATTCCTTATCCAAGGATTCAAAGACCTAATTAAGCAGAAATATTCAGGAAGATGCTCGTAAACTCAAAGACCTTGCATAATAAGGAAATTAACGTTCCTCTCGGAGATATCTTCAAAAGGATTCGTTTCTCGAAATAGAAATTCAACGAAATTACTTGTCACTTTTTTATCCAGATTTCAATATCAAATATCCTCACGACTGAGACTATCGGCAGA